GGATTAGTATCAGCTGGTATGGCTTGTTAATAATCAGCCATCGGTATTTTGGGGTTTTTTGTTGTTCTCCCTCCCTGGCGGGGGGTCGGGCTAGAAGATCTACTAGGTCCCTTCCGACCCTTAATCTATGAATCAGCCCAAAAATTCTTTATTGGTGCACCCCTACTTACTTATTTACTTTTTCATCCTCTTTTTTGTTGTTGTTTTAGAGTCTACTTGTATAAAGGGGACAAAGTTAAAATTAGCCATTAGTGCAACTGGAAGAGCAGAAGTTAAATTAATAAAGTTGTTTGGACTTACCTGAATTTGGGGTTTTCAACCGTAACAACACCAACTTCTATTTCTGAAGGTTTGAAATCAATGGACAGAACAGTAGACAGGCAGGTTATTGCTGTCTAAACGTAAGGTAGGGAAAGAAAATTGTTTAACCACTTGCTTTTCCAAGTTGAACTTAATATTTTCATATCTAGCTTCTTAAATTCAAGTTACCTCCTTCCTTTCTCTAAAACACTTACAGAAAATAATTTCCTACTATCTACTTTTCATGTTATGAAATTCAGTCTCTCCCCCTCCCTTGAAAGCATGATTTACAAGAACATTGTAACAAGTGCATCTTGCATTTTCTCATCAAGAAACCCCCAAAGTGTGAGAGTGGGTTTTAAAATAAACAACGAATCTTACCTGGAGCAATTTTAAAAGATGTATTTAATCATGACTATTACCTTACCTTCGTTTTTTACTATTCCAGGTGCTTTTTAAATTGTTCTTTTATAAACTTATATTCTCTTGCATAACCCTGCTGTAAGGCCATAATCTTAATGCACAGGGTATACATCCATACTGATGAATGGGAAGGAATGAACTAACTGGCCAAGTTTTTCAGATGTTGCTGATATTTAACAGTATCACTAGTGGTATGTTAGGGCTCCCAGAACCCTCAATGAACATTTTATTTAAATTAAATGTATAAGAATGCTTATTTTTGTGGTATGACATTAATTGAGAACAAAAGTGATTAATAGAGGGCAAGGCCTTTAGTGTAGGGTCAGAGGAAAAATCATGAATATTTTTTTATTTAAAACATACCTATTGCACTATCATTTAACGCCTTGCAAGACTAAGAAAGGACCAAAATGGCATCCTATTTCTTGCTTTTGCTTTGCACACTCATGGTTCCTGGCTGATGCATAAGCTTTTGAAGGGATAGTTACAGTTGTCAACACAGAGCACAGATTTTGATAATAGTTTTCATACATCCCTAAACACAAAATTAATATTTCCATTAACTAACTGGAATTGGAACTTGTTTAATTTAAATGTTTGCTTCTAAAACACTGCAGTGCTATACATTAGAAATATAGTATGAGAAAAAGAACACGCTGCTTTGACTACGAAGTTGAGAGAAAACAGTATATTGTCAACAAACAATAGCAAGAGACTACAAAAGCCTCAGGCTCCTTTTTACTGAGTTAAATGCCAAGTTCTTTAGATTGTTTTGAAAATTCAAACTTTTGGTTCTAATCAATTTAGCTATGAGATTATGAATGCTTGTTGTCCCTTTAATGCTTTAATTTATACCTAAACATAGACAACATGTGAAGACAGCCTCATGCTAAAGCTCATTCTCAATAAGGATGCTAGAGGATGCTGTACCATGTTATTACTGTTAGGTGTGCAAACATGATTCATAAAATAAAACCAGAGATTTCAAATAGGAATCCACAGTGTTAAAAACAAGTCTGTTCTTTTGTAGTCTTTCTGAACTCTTTGAAACAGAAGAATTGCTCTATTTTTTTCTGTAGTTGAAACTGTGAAACTAAGCACTGGCAGTTTCTGAGGGGTACTTCGGAGTCTAATGAGGCTGAGAACCACTGTGCTAAACAAAGCATTTAAAAAAAGAAAAAAAAAGAAAGAAAGAAAAAGACTTGAGAAAAACCCAAACAATAGTGTAGCTAAGAACTCTCAATATATAACATACATTTTCGTATATCCTGTTTAACTGAAAAGTGGAGTCAATTTTATGTTTAGGTTACTGCTGCTTATTGCGATTGATTAGCTTGGTGCATCACAAAAATAAGACTTTTTCGACTTCATAGAAGAACAAGCAGAAACTAAACTATTACAACTAAACTGTCTCTTTAAATGAAAGAGTAAGGAAAAATTATGAAATGCAAAAAAAAGTGTTGCCCTATTGTATATACAAGTACACTATATTTTAATAATGAACCTTAAACACTTCTGTAGCAGCCATGCTGACATCTAGTGCTATCTTTACCACACATACAGTAATCCTTGTGCATCTTAAAGTGCATTTTTACACATAAGGCTGTTATAAAGAGGTTATAAAAATCATACTAGTTTCCACAGAGTCAGTCAATACTCAGTTGCCACATGCCAGAGTGCTGGAATTGCTGTGACTTCATTCATGCTTCATCCAGTGGAATAGCAAAGTAAATAATGCCAAGGTACTTGAGATTAGTGGCAATGTAGCTAGCACCAATTTAGGACATACTATTGTCCACAGCTTATTTTTATGACATGCTTATAAACATCATCTCAAGTAAAAATACAACTGAAAAATCCCAAACCCCAGACTGAGCTCCCTCCCCACCCTCCTTCCCTTCCCATTCTGAAGACAGCACAGGAGCCTGGGGGGGGGGGGGAGTGCAGCTGCAGACAGTCCAAACTGGAGCTCAGTCCACCAACCCCCAGACCCAACAGTGAATGACTGTTGGGTCAGGGTGAAACACTAACTCATTTCACTTCTTGCAAAGCACCACGAGTTATAGTGGGGACCTGCACATCTGTCAGTGCCCTCTGTTACAGCTGCATGAGCCTGCAGAAGTATAAGCAAGCTAAATCAACCTAATTTAGCCCTAGATAAAGCAGAGTTAAAACTGGAGTAGCTCTGAAAACTGTGTATTTCTATTGCTGCAGAATCAGGCAGGCATAACATCTGCATCATAACAGCTTATATTGCTATCCTTTGGCAGCAATGTAATTGCTATACCTTAATTTAATATACATTGTACGTACATTTAGTAAATCCTGCCTCTCTCGGGCCAAACCCAGGAGGTCAGAAAATCCACATCATCCAGTCAGTTTTGCTACTGGTAGCCCTATAAGCATATGTCCTTATATTTGAAGGGATGCATCCCTGATCATGATGGTAGTACTGTCACTACTGCTGCAAGAGGCATGCAGCACAACACCAGCTTGTAACAGTAACAACTGAGAATGTAATTTGTCTAGTTTAAAGCACTTTCCAGCAGAAAGATTGTTTGAAAAGCTGAAAAATTATCTATGACTTGCTTAGTAGGGAGTGGGGAATTCAAGTTCTTCTGACAGAATGTTTTGGTTCTCACAGGGGAGGATCTTGAGCAAGCAGCACAACAAAATGGCAATGGTGAATGTGCAGCACCAGGCCAGGAGTACTGAAAATTGATAAATCAAGTAAAACACATTATTCCACTGTGGCAGCATAAGAGGGAAAATTTTAAGAACAGGAAGGGAAGATAAAAGGCTAGATTTCACTGCTTTCTTTTTAAAAGAGGAAGGAAAACTTTGTCAATCCAAAAGACAAAGAGATGAGGTTAAGAGTATTTTTAATGGACCCTACAGCATGAAGGTATTGGGATGACAAATGGCTTACTCCATTTTAATCAAACAATATTGTTGTGTCTGACTTTCCAATTATGCATACAATGAAGCATCTTAAATAGTGGCTAACAATGCAATTACCCCATTTATCTACAGGAAAAGCCTTGTGAAATAGTGATAAACATTTAGCAGAAACAGGTACCAAACTTGGATTATTCTCTCAAAGCAAAATGTTTTAAAGATTTAAAAAATGGAAATAGCTGTTACCAAGGCAGTGACATCAAGCATATCACAAAAAAGGAAATGCTTACTAAAGATTTCTTCACAATGTGAAGTCATACAGCAAAACTGAAAACACTTTTGACCTACTCTGGTGTCCTCTTACTGGCTTACCTCCACTGTCTGCTCATAAGTCCAGTCAAATTTCTTCTTTACTTTCTTTTCAAGAAAGCTGGTTGACTCTGTTTGTTTGACTCCTGCAGCTGTGGCCTTGAACCCACAGTAGTAACCTGCAGGATCACACTTGTATACCTGAGGACCATGCTCTTCATCAACACCTATCAAAATCATACCTTTAAAAGAGAAGGAAATTTACATTTATTCAGCAGTACTGAAAATATTGAGACTTAAACTGATTCAGGATAGATTTAGGATGCAGACTCTCCTCCTCTAGCATGAAACAGGCGAGGTATTGTGGTATACTTTCTGTAGTATACTACTCTGAAGAACACATTCCTCCCCGCTCTCTAATCTAACATACCTCTCAATGGCATTTCATTGCTCTAAACTGAATTTCGTACCTGGTGAATTAGATTTCTAATCCCATCCAAACTAGACCACTCATCAAAGAGACAAACTGTTAGACAGTGTTGAGCATTCACAGAACCAAAGTCAGGAAATACAAAAGTTAAAGTCGTGGTAACAACGTTAACTCAGCTGCACTGCTTATCCTGTCTATTCGATAACAATTTGAGCTCCACATTTAACCAGAAAGCAGAAGTGGTTAACAAAAGTACTGTATTTACTCATATATAACTTCCCCCAAAAGCCAGCCCTCCCAAATTGGGGTGTACGCCTTAAGCAGGGAAGCTTTTCTCATCAGAGCTTCACTGCATAGAGGCATAAAGGAATGAAGACACTGTGCTACAAGATGGCTGTTGGCTTCCCTTTTTGTTCCCTTATCAGCAAGCAAAAGAGATGTATATCAGCGTAGCAGATGGCACCACAGTACTACAATAGCTTGTTTAAGACATGCACCTCAATTTTGGAGGGATGACTTTTGGGAAGACTGCACGTCTCAGGGTCTACCAAACTCAGAGGCAGCAGTCAGTCAATTTCTTGGGTAGGTCCTGGGGCCAGCTGCCAATTTCGTAGGCTGAGTGTGGTGCTCCCCCCGCTCCTCCCACCCAATTGGCTGAGGGGCTCCAGCAGTCCCACCCCTCCCTGCAGATTGCCACATGGCCCAAAACTATAGCTTAATTATCCTGGTTAAGCACAGGGAAGCCATTCATCCATATGATTAAGTGTGAATTAATGGCTTCCCAAGGCTTAAATTTGGGTAATTAAGACATGGTTTTGGGCCACTTCCAAGTGGTGGACTCTGGAATTTTGATGGGACTTCTTGCAAAAGAGACCATCCCCCAAAACAAACTTCCTGGAAAGCAGAGAAAAAGCAGGGAAGCCCTGTAGTCTTGGAGCACAGGGGAAAAAGCAGGGGGTGGGGGCAGGGACAAGGTGTGTAGGCAGACTCCACATCTCCTGCTGCTAGCGGCCACACCAACACCAACCCCACCCCCTGCCTTCTCCTCCTGCTCTAAGACTACAGGGCTCCCCAGCCTCTTCTCTACTTGCCAGTAAGTTTTTTTTGGTTTTGTTTTGCAGCAAGCCTGCCAAAATTGTGGAGCCAGCTGTTTTTTTCTGAAGCCGGCCCAAAATCACAGGTCCCAAGAAAATCACATGCAATTTCAGCCAGCAGGTCCCTAAGCATGCTGTATAGGAACATCAACATATATTTGTAAAAAGTTCTATTTCCTAGTTACTGGCATAAACCATAATCTTACACATCCCCCATATTCTTGTTATTGGATAAAGCTTGCCAAGAAGTGGTTCCAATTCAAAAGCAGCTATGAAAGGGTTAATGCTGGACAGCACTCCCCCATGCTTGCTGGCTGGGAGGGAGACCTAGCAGCTATTTTGTAGCACTGTGCTGTGCCTTCATGAAAAAGCCAGCTCCCACACCATGTCTCTGGAAAAATACTGTTCTCTACATTCTGCATTCCAGAAAGAAGGTGCATAAGGTATGTGGGAAAATACACTATCAGATAGCACTGGAACCATCACTTAAAAGTCATACTGTGTAGTCAGTAAATGTAGAAGACATTTATATGAATGCACCCTTTTCTGATCAATGAATCCCAGTTTAATTTGAATCCATTTGATGATCACAGGTGCTTTTTAGTCCCTGGAATTAAAAAGTTCATACATGCTAAATGAATCTGTCCCCTTGTGCTTGTAACTGCTGTATGACTATTTATGCAATTTGAAAACAAGGCAAATCAAAACCATCCTCTATCAAAAAAAGATTTTGAAGGTTACATTTATGTCAAGTAATAAGTTAACTATTTGCTGTACATTTGATAAAAGATACAATGAGCAATTTCTATAGTTTCATTTGTTCTTTTGTAATTCAAATATATGACTTTTTATTCAAATTAAAAAGAAAAAAAAATCACTTCGCAGAGCACAGAAAATTTCAGTGCAAAAGATGAACTTTTCAGATAGCTGCAAGCCTAATGCAAATTGTGTTGCAACCATAAACAAAGACTAGCAAGAAGTACTGATACTTATTATTATAATTAGCACAAATAATTCAATGTTTCTGAAGTACTCTTTGAAAATACATATTAAACATGTGAGAGAACATTATTTTAACAAAAGCAGTACTTCGTACCTTATAAAAACCTGCAGATTAAGCCCCATAAAACAATGATGAAGTAGCTTTATGTATGTTAGGGAAGGGTAAACTGAAAGAAAGGTCACATGGTTTGCCTGAGAAGACAACTTGTTTAATAACAGAATCTTGCTTACTGCATATTGCTGCATGAGTCATTATGGCTATAACACTACTCCTGAGTTCAGATAGTTAATGGTAGAATCAAGGATAGAATCCAGGTTCTAATCCCTACTCAAACTGTCATGCCCCAAAGCTCCTCACATAACACCCACATTTTATACAAGATAAAGAATTGGTGAGAATTCTTCAGATGTCAAAAATTATATGCAGAAAATTAATTTAACAAAGATACAGAAGAAAGTATAGACCTTATTACTTACAGCATCCAAGAGGTCTCATTTCAGCATTCTGTGTGTAGACCTGAGAAATATCTGCAATCCTTTTACACAGCATGTCCACTGGAATATCGTAACCATACTTGTATTTCCAGTTAGCAGCCTCATAGCGGGCTCTTTGCACCTGGGACCTGCTATCAGCTAATATAAAAGACAAAGTATTTACTTGTTTCTCATCTTCCACTAAACAAGCTGAGACAAACCTTAAACACACAAGACACTGCATCACTGATTACTGCTAGCAATAACACATTCCTGACTCTAGCTTAAGAAGTCTTGATCCAATAAATTGGTAAGAACAACTTCTTTAAACTCCAGTTAGTAGAAACGGAACTCCTAAACCTGGATTTAAGAGTCTCAAGTTTTCATATATCAAAACATGAAACAAAAACAATAGGGTCTGTTATAAAACTGCAATGATCTAAATAAGAGATAAATTAAATACCTGTCATTCCTGTCATAACGCATCCAATATTTTCAGTAATTCTGAATAAATGGGTCACTGTGCTAGAATCCAACAGTTTGTCCTAAGAAGCAAACAAAAATACTGAAACATTATAAAAAAGAGCCCTCCTTTTACATACAAGTGTAAAATACAAATAATGCAGAAGAGAAAAAAAGCACCTGGGATTACAATTTAGGACTCAAACTGCTTCCCAACACTTTACAGCACAGAATGGGAAAGAGTTCCAGTATACCATATTTGCACAGAACCACTAATCTTCCACTATGTGCTCCTGGTGTTTTGTTTCTGCAGCAAAGTGGGAGGAATTTTTACTTCTGCATTTGAGTGCTCACTTATAATAAATAGCAAAGGAAGGAGAAGATAGCTAGCAATCTTTGCCAGAAGTGGTGATGGATGCCAGTTTTTGACTAGGGAAGTTGAGGACCTTTGCACAAAAATCTGATCCTCTAACATATTCCACTCTTAATTTTAAAAAGCGTTTTTCATGTTTTTTTCTTGCCCAGCACCACTGTGCTATCAGATGTCTATTCTTTGTATCACTGACTGGTTTATAGGTCAGGGTTCTATAACCAGTATACTAAAAGAAAACAGGACTGAGAAAAATGTGTTTCTGAATGGTCCCACGCTTCCAAGGATACGTTGACACTACAGAATTAGTTTCAACTTTAATCCTTTCCATCTGCACAAAAATCTTTATAATCCAGATTTTGAGGTGCTTTAAGATAGGGAATAAATTGGAAATGTCATCAGTTATCACAGATAAACTTATCCGATTCAGTGAGTGAGGACATAAGCTACATCACTTGAGTGCTAACAGTCCTCTAATCCTTTTCCCCTGTTTCTCATCCCACCCTAGCTTCCCACCAAAACAGCCAAGATCACCTGCAACTGACATTCCTGCCTGGAAAATAAACTTCGAACATTTTAGCAAAAGTACCAGAGGATACTCCTCCAGGCATTTACAACCAAGAGCAGGAAGAGTGTGAACATACTAACACCATGCTAAGCAGGACAGGGACATGTACTCAAATCCCAGTGTCAATCACCTGGGTCACCTATGAGCACAGAAATAGCTAAAGATATATGTTCTTGGGTGGTTTAGAAATCTACAGAAAGAAAATAAAGTAGCATGATACTGTCGTGATGGATAAGATGCCCAAGTACCAAAGGAGGAGGAAACCAGGACAGGCTGAATGGCAACAAGATGTTGTCTACTTCAGGGCCACAGAACCAACATTGAGAAATGACTGTTAAAAGATACTACTCACAGGGACTTTCTTCTGAGTTACAATTACTGCAGAATCCTTCCCACGAACAGCAACTGATGTAAGGCCACCCTGGTTTATAGCCTTAAAAGCATATTCTAGAAAAAAACCCCACAAGAAAATAATGAGAAAATTTGTACTGATGCCACTAAATACCAGTAATTAGGGCAAAGCATGCAATCCCTGCACATACAGTAATACTGCAAGGAATAAGCCCTCTATTTCCAATACATTACAACACAATCACCATGATGGCATAATACTGAATACTGTGTTTACAAAGTCTTTATATTATACATATATAAAACACATACATATATAGTATTAAAAAGAAAAAAAACAACCCAATGATACTTACTAATAGAAGTTTCATACCCTCTTACCCACAAATTAAATAGTTGACTGGGATGGCCCAATGGTAAAAACGAGTTACATCATAGGGACTTTGAATAAACATCCCTTCTATAAGGGGTGGACAACATCTGGCTTGCACGACAAACCCAGCCCATGGCAAGCCCCTTGGCCCTGCCCAGGCATGGGGGGCAGTCTGGGCTGTGGCACATGCAGCTGGTCCTACCGTTGCCGGATATGTGGTGAGGCAGGGGCAGTGCAGTGGCTATCCTAAGCTTCCTAGCAGTCCCTGCAACAGTGGCTCCTTCTGGCTGCTGCCTGCCTGTGGGGCCACTGCCTGCCAGATGTGGCACCCTGCTCTGTCTGGGCAGGTGGGCAAGGTCTCCACAGAGACCAGCCCAGGAGCCCCGCAGGCAGGACACACTCGGCACGCAGTCCCTTGCCCCCAGTCCCAGACAGGGTGGGGCTGCAGGCAGATGGAGAGCCTTGTCCTGGAGGAAGGTAGGCAGGAGGGACTGTGGAGTTGTGAAAGTGTCAGGGCAGAACCCAGGGCAGAGCCACAATCCACTCCCCACACATCCCTGCCTGTGGAACCAATGCCTGTCACAGGGATGTGCAGGAAGCAGATCATGGCTCTGCCCTGGTCCCCACATTGTCCCCAGCTCCAGCTGTCCTGCTCCTGGATGCCACTCCTTGCCTGCCCATGGTCCACTTGCCCTGCTGACTGCACCCTGCCTGCAGGGGTCCCAATCAGTCTCCAG